TAGCTGTGTCAGACACTGTGGTGTATTTAATTTTACTGGGATAATAGACAAGTAGTATTTCGAATCGACATATGGATAGAAGGTACTATTATAGATTAATAATACGTAGTCGATATATCTAAATGTAATGCGGTGAGAGAAGAATCAAATCTGGACCTTCAGGTCACGAAGCAGACACCCTTCAAGTATAATGTTATGAAACGATGGTGTTAAGAGTAGACAAATGTAAAATAAAGAGAAAACGAAAAGTATTCAAGCCCAAAAGTCAATAAAACAATACAAAATAGGAGTAGAGCAAACACAGACCTCAAAAACATCAGGTGGGATCAGGTACCATGGAGGAGTGAACATTCCCTGCCGACCGGTCATACCAGTCGTACGCTCCTTTTTATGATCTATTTCTTTTAATGTTTTTGTGGTTAATAAAGATTTGAGGTATTGTATGGATTTCACGAGGACTGTCCAAGAAAACGCCAACTTTTTGAATATTCCAAATACTCTTCGACCAAATTAATAATTTATCGCATGCTGTTTGATATTTTGACAAAATATAATATGCCTGTGATGCCATATGCATATAAAAACATCATATAAAGGATGTGAAATATCGGTGGTTGGAGCACCAAAATATTTGAAATTTTGCAAATAGCATTGTCAATGAAGTTTTCATTGTTATCAGGCTATACGGCAATATAATCCCAAACTTTTATAAATACTCTATAATATGGTTTACCCGTGTTTAAAAAATTATTTATTTGACATCATTAATGACAAATACATGACGATATTTGCCAAATCACTTTAAATTCGACATTGTCAAAAATTGCGACGTTGAGCGGTAATGTGGAGCACCAAATTATCACGCAACACTATCTTGAGCGGGATATGACTCTTGTACATAGAGAAAAGAGATGATAACGATGAAAAAACACAAACATAACTACATGTATATGGGAAACATATTTTTTTTATCTAGTTGATGAGGTTTGAGGTTGACTTGACTGGTTATCCGAAAGAAGAGAATAGACCACTTAAATGTGACGAACGGAAAAGACAAGAGCGGAACATCATAGACCTGATAAATGATTACCGCTGTTAATATAAACAATCGAACTGTAAGGTTATGATCAAGATTGTGAAATTGTCTATTAAAAGAATTACCTCCGCAATCTTCTGGTAACACTAGTATTTGAGATGTATAACTTGGTAACTAAAACAAAATTAAATACAACGCCGAATGTATGCTTAAATGAATTTTTTAAAGGCACAGTTTCCAGAACAAATTCACAAATGAAACACAACGAGCTACGTACGTTTTGACATCGTCAGTATTGCGCCGACAGCTGATTTGAAAGATTCGTTTACCTGAGAGGAAAATTTCATTTAAGGAGATATTTCAATGATATTTTTTGGCATAATTTAAAGAAATGTTCATCATGATTTATGCGGATTTTTAACTTTATAGTTCTAAAGTAACAAAAGATTGAAAATGTTAGCATTTTTCTAGGACAACCCTCGTAAATTTTTGTATAACTAATTCACTTTACATATGTTTTACTGTGTAAAAAGTGAAAGATAACGAGATTAGTTTGAGAATAAAACGCTACAACCAATTGTCAAAATTTTGTTATTGTTTTTTCAGATGTTTTTCCTGATAACACCTGTTATTTGTCATCAAAACCGATGCATACCAACACTTCTCTGTTATACATTTTTGAATACCAAGGAAAGCAAATTCCACGTGATTGCCGGGAAGTAGCACTGCACAGCGCAGACGCAACTTTGGATTTTTACAAGTTTTGTGTCACTCTCATTTCTTTCATCGACCCAAACTGCAGCATTACTGTTGAATTTAAATTTAAAGAACGAGACAACGAAAACCTCATGGTAAAATTTAATGTCTTTAATGTCAAATAGTGAATATCTTTTTGCCAATGGATATTGGAAATGAGTATTCGATATTCGATAAATGCATGTACCTTTGTTAAAAGATCTGCTAACGACTTCTATCTCCTGTTTTTCAAAGTTGTTCTCAAAAGTTACATATTTGAAAACCTTTTTCTTGTTCAGAAATTGTAAAATAATGTTGCAAAGCTGTATTTGTTGCAAGATAGGATTAAAGGCAAAAATACACTGAAAATGGTGATTTCACGACCAATTTTCAAATGTTATTTGACTATAAATTTTTACCTAATAATTCAGATATAATTATAATTTAATTACAAATTAATAAAGAGAATTATTAAGTTGATGTTTATCCACTACGCATATTTTTAAATTGAATGGGAAAACAATCATATAAATTTCTGTCAGAAGATATTTATTGAATAGGTGTCTAGTAATTTAACTTTAGCTTAAGTGCTATGTTACAACGCACTTTGAAAAATTACGCATTATGAAAAAAAATTAAAGTGCTTTAAATTTGAGACCAATTCAACGCATTCTGAGTAAATAAAACTTCTTTTCAAAGTGCGGTAATATCGACCATATTAAAAAGTGTATGGTCAATATCTTGCAAATCTTAGGTATGATAAATAATTCAACCTGTTGGATAACTTTTCGGTGATAAGGTCACTTCAGGATGTGAAAGTGAGCGATTTTGATTTTTCCAAACTTTGAAAACCTTTCTCTCTTAAATGTTTTATAATTGTACTTCTTTTTTTCCAGTTTGCATGCAATTTATGTAAACTAAAATTTATCGGAAGTTTTCAACGTCATACTAGTTATGCAAATACATATTTTGGTGTAGCATAGGCATCGGGTACCAGGAGGGGTGCTTAGACACACGAATGTTTTACAAAGATATAGTTACATAATATAGTCATTGAAAAATGGGGCTTACTTTCGGGGGGGGGGGGGGGGCAACGTTAAATTTTCTATCCAGGGATATGTAAAAAAAGAGTTGGGCTGAGAGATCAATTCACGTAAATTAAAAAGTTTTCGAAAATTATATTTATCACAAATTAATTATCTCAATTACTAAAATCGAAGTCTAGAATTTTTGTTTAATACGTATTTTTTTCAAAGTGCCTTAAATTTCCCTATGGTAAAAAATGCTAATGTACACTCTTAACGCACTTTGAAAAAAAAATTTCAAAGTGCGTTGATTTTGTCCCAATTCTAACGCACTTTGAAAAAATTTTTCAAAGTGCTTAATTTTTTCAAAGTGCGTTGCCATAGTCCTATCAATAAATTATTGATGTAATCATCTTTGCAATCCAAATAAACAAAAATAATATTCAACAGAAAATATATCAAACATTGATATGTAGGCAAATACCTAAATTTTACGTTTTTTTTTCATTTTAAACATGTTTGCTTATAAGTTTATTAATCTTAATTTAATTATTATGTAAAACATAAATAAACAAATTAATTGAAATGAAATAAATACATTTTTTTTAATATGTGTAATATTTTTTTCAGATTTTCAACTGCAATACCACAGAAAATGATACTTTTTGTACAAGCGAAGAAACAGAGCTTGGGATGAATATTAATCAAGTCTTGGGGTTTAAAAATGCCAATTTTATATTTTTGATTCAAAATATAGCATCTACCAAATGTAAGTTACTTTCTTTCTTTTTGTTTAAAAAGCAAAATTCAAATATTAACCTAAATTAAAGATTTTGTTTAACTAAATACAAATTTCTTAACCTATCATTTGAAAAGTATCATATTTCTTAGTTATTTAAGTATATACTTTTTTTCTCTTTTTTTGCAGATTCATATCAAGGTAATAATAATACAATGTATAAGTAATTATTTATATTTTTGACCCTTACAAATTAAAAATATTATTTCTTAAAACCCTGAAATGAATTATATTTATTCAAACATCAACAGTATAAAACTAGTGCAAAACGAACACTTGTGATATCATTGTAAAATGTTGTCGACTTTCTTCGACATTACAATCCATTTTTAGGCATGTGTCGTGTAGGTCTATATTCAGTAGAGTGATATTAACGGATAACTCAACTAGTTTTAAATAAGAGATAAAAAGTTCCTGAGAATATAAATACATGTATATAAAAAATACACACTAAGGATTGTCTCCGTTTATCATCAATATTCGTTAACCTCCTTTTTCATGTGTTTATATACAGAGTATGTATGGAAACCTATAAATCTATTTTGTATTATTATACCAATAAAGACATATACAAATACCCATGGTAAATTTTTAGATACGTTTGCTTTTATTTTAACCAAACTCTTCAGTAAATTGAAAGGAATGAAAAAAGAACACTGTCAAACATAATATTCTCTTGCTACAGAAATCCTCGCTGACTCTTGCTCCTTTCCATAAACATATTACGCAGCACAATTAAGGTGCAAAAGGGATGTGGAGCCTAATTAATATATATTAACTATGACGTCACACGTGAAATTAGCAACAATTTTGGATAAAATAATAAGCTGTGTAACATGGATATTTACATAATTAATTACTATTTTTGCAGCGGTTACAGACGTCGGAATGTTTGCTGGGATCGTCGTCGGCTCTATCTTTGCATTTCTCATCGTTGTCATTGCCTGCTATGTTTATATTAGAGGACGGAATTCCAAAGGTCCATATCACCAAGCTAAAACCTAAATATTGCCAAACAAGGAATAATATAAGTATACATTAAAAGACTCATCCAAACTGAGTGCTATGGCGTGGCGAAGTCGGATTTCCCGAAAGAGCAACCATCAGAAATGTTTTTAGTGTAGTTTTAATTTTCATTTTTACATGTATGTATCAAATATGTACATCATACACATAACATTCCATAATACAAGAATTATTTTTAAAATGTGTCGCAAAATTGTTTTGCTCAGATATCATGTTCACTTTCTTGCTAATGTTATTATTTGTTTAAATTTTAAGAACATATCTACTAACTTTATTTTTGACATTAAAAAAGGTATATACTATAAACCACTGAAGGACTCTAATGTATAAACACATTTGTTTGCAATGAAAGTGCATCTATTTATAATGAATGTCGATATTATACGTAAGTTCATTTTCACTGTGATTCAACATCTTATTTCTATTCAAAAAGATCCTTATGTCGCGGGTTCGAATCCCACTGATGGATGTATAGAGCAGTCATTCGAAAGAGACCGAACATGTATAAACCGAGGTCTCGTGTTGCAGTAGGTACTGGCACGAAAAAAGATCCCTCCCTGGTTAATGGCCCTCTTTTCCATTAGCATAGAATTCTATAGAGGTTGGGGAAAATGAAATTCTTAAACATATTGATTAGAGTACAGATTATAATTTTAAAATTAAATATTTGATGCTAATAGTTCTACTTACTTCTCGAAAGCATAAAGTTTTAGGTTTACTTTTTTGAATTTAAAACAATGTTGGTATCCAATGACCAGGTCATAAATTTACAACATTTAAGTTATAAAAATCAAACAAAGGCATCTTTGAAGGTAAAGACCAAGAGAATTAAGGACAGATGATGCAAACAAATTTTTTGTTTGGAGGAGACCAAGTATCATGTCACAAGTTTAGAATAGTGGATAAGTCTTAGAATTTTTTCTCCTAAGAACTGGAAAATAAAATAGACTTGTAAAATATTACTAATATTTTAATAAAAGAATATTGACAAATCACACTCAGTAAAGGTTTACAGGTGAAAACAAATTTCAGAATATGTTAGCTTGGCGCTAAAAATGTAATGTAAACATTAGAAAAATATACCAAGCCAGGTGAATTTTATAAGGAAAAGCAAAATGGTATAAATCAACCTACAGTATATTATATGGGCTGATTTTTACCATTTTGCTTTTCCTCATAAAATTCACCTGGCTTGGTATATTTTTCTAAAGTTTATATTACACTTTTAGCACCAAGCTAACATATTCTGAAATTTATTTTCACCTGTAAACCTTTACTGAGTGTGTTTTATCCATTTTTATAATTTTATTGAATTATTACTGATATTTTCCAAGTCTATTTCATTTTCTAATTCTTAGGAGAAAAAAAAATCTAAGAATTATCCACTTTTCTAAACCTGTGACATGATGTCAAGATTAAGTCTCCTCCAAGGATAAAATTTGTTTGTATCATCTGTCCTTAAAAGATTGATAAATATTGACATGCATTTGTATTTAGCGAGATTAATTAAAAAGAAATATAAGAAACAGAATTACAAAAAGATATGTACAGCTGTAGAACAAAAGATCTTGAAAAACCAAAAATTATTCTATGGCAAATGCATTTTTTCTATATACTAAAAATTCCTTTTCTGTGAAATGTAAACTTGACATGGCATTTTATACTTACACCGAATTCTGTATATTTAACGTCTGGTTCTGTAATACATTTGTTCAACTAGAAATGCAGTTTGAATCTGAATGTTAATAGGTGAAGATAACGAATAGTGAATTAGTGATGGATTTCAAAAATCTACAAATAATACGAACGAACTGAAAAAGGCAGGAGACATGGAGCTTCGAAAATTCCAGGAAACAGAAACACGTACTAGCCGTAAGACATAATAGAGAGGTTTAGTTACAAGTGACGTAACAACGTGTACGCGTAACATTGACGTACACGTTCTATTTGACGTCAACGTCAATAACATGATTTAGTTATACGTACAAGTGTATGTGTTCAAATTTCGTGGTTGAACAGCAAATTAATTGAACGGCAATGTATTTATTATTTTTAATTTAGACAAGTCAATGGTGAAATGGAATTTATACTAACTCTTGTCATAGATATCATAATCTGTGAAAAATTATTTTATGTATTGTCATCTCAATGCAGTGAATCGCTCTAAATATTTTTCACCTAGTATCTCTACAGGACAATTAAGCTTTTAATTCTGCATCGCTTAAAAAATTAAAGCAATCATAAAAATTATTTAATTGACGATAAAAAACTACCACATTTTGCATTTTGTGGAGGAAGGGGGGACCAAAAGAAAACCTTATGAAAACGATAAAATGTGAAGGCTCAATCCTTATAACGTCTAGAAAGGAGGCATGGAATAAATAATCAATACATTGTTAAAACTAAAATTAGACACCGCCCCCCCCCTTTTTTTTTAAATACGCGTCTGCTCTAGATCTTTACAAGCGATAGTACAAAAGAAAAAAAAAGTTAATGAAATACAATCTCAACAAGCACTTGACGTTACACATAGGCCTACTACCTAATACTTATTAGGCAAGGGGTTAATATTTCTTGTTATGTCACTAGTGCCTGTGGATGTTATATAATAGTAACTGTTCTAAAATATTTTATTATAAAAAAAATAAAGAATATAGAGGTGTTAAAATAGGTTTTAATAAAAATAAGAAAGGGAAAAATCACCAAGAAACCATGAATTTATATTTGGTGCATTGGCGGGCCAGGTCTTCTTCAAATGAATCCTGCATACAAAATAAACATGCTGTTGGGTATCAGTTTGAGTTTAACTTTTCATGGATAAAAATACCAATACTCGGTGGAATCGTCATTCATTAAAGTTTTTAGATAGACTAGGGTTCTTGTTTTATTGCACAAAAATCAATCAACTGCATAAAGGAAAAAAAATTTAATCCATAACTTTACCCGTTTATGTCGTACGTGTAGACAGTGTGTTACACGTTCTAAACTTGTAGCTACACCGCTACTACACGTCGAATTTGACGTCATGACGTCGAAGAACACAACAATTGATGACGTCACCCGTACAAGTTCGGCGCAAAACATGTAACTAAACCTCCCTAATGATATGTACTGATCCTGTAAATGGAACATTTCCTTGTCAATCTGATCATAAAAGTATGGTCTAACAACTCGTGACAGACAAAATACGACCCAATGATAAGTTTTTTTTTTAGCATAGTCATTACACTGACCATTTGATATACAAGATGCTGACTGAAAAAAGGTGTCAGTAGTCTGCCTCATTTTAAAAATAGATCGTACTTAGAGAATATTTCTAAGTACCAAATAAGTAGGGAAATATATTAGAAATAGCATATGCAGGTGATATAGTGAAATTTTCCCACATAGATAAGTAAAGCTGAGAATAGAAATGTTGAAATCATCTCTTTTTTTTAATACAATTTAGTTGCAAGTTAGCTGTTATCGTCAGGGTTAGGGTTAGTTTATTAATCGATTAATAAACATCCAAATATGGAACAAATGTGTCAGAATTTGTGGTTCTTTTATTTCAAGCAACTTGATTGACATATGACTTGAAGTTACTACATGATTAATTGATGAATAAAACGTTGTCGAAATGTCAGAGTTACGGGTCATAATAAGTGTTCGTTTAGAAAATATTTTGGACAAATTTTGCTTCATATGAATACAAAAAAGTCCGCTAATGATGCAGTGTAATTAGTACTCATCGGAATTCCGACGGATGTTAGGAAATAGATATTATCAATCATCAGAAATTGAAGCATCTCTCTTATATCATCTTCTGAGTATGTATGTTTAATTAAAATGTTTTTTAACAAAATAATTTTCCAGATGATCAATGACAGGGTAAGAATTAACAAACATTCAAATTTTATTGAAAAAAACCCACACACAGCATGTGATGTCAAAAAGCCCATACTTAAATTTAATTTGGGAAAGGTTGTATAAAGTGTTGAGAATTCAAATTTTCTAACAGTTCCTTTAAATGTTTTTGTGTGAAGCAAAAAGAGCACAATTTTTTCTTTAGGAAACTGCTATCTTAGACCATGACCTAAGTCATTTTTTGTAATTGGACTTTATACAAAAACGAATAAAAGCTGACCAATCCAAAGCAGTAAACTTTTACATATCTCTTTTATGCAAGGATATTCATGACTGTCTTCATGAATTTTTGTTATGTTTGTTTCTTGATTAATGTCTCTCTTGTAAATGTTACACTCTTATGGAGACGCCCCTACTTGTCACTTGTCGATAGAAAGCTGCAAATTTTCGTATTCCATTATCATTGAATGATTTTGCAGAAGAGTACAAAGCTGATTTACAAAGAACAGAAAATCTATCGGTAAAGGGGGGGGGGGGGGGGGTTGAAGTACTGCGAGATAGGATGAAAGTAAATGGACACTTTATGCTACAATTTTTTGAAGAATCTATAAATGAAATAGCAAATCACCTTCAAAACTTGTTGAAGGATTATCCCCACATTTCCTGTACAATATTGGTAGGCGTATATTCAGAATGTAGTATTCTTCAAGAAAAAATAACATAGATGTGTTTAGAGAAGAATGTAATAATTCCTAATGAATGTGGCCTTGCAGTAATTAAAGGAGCCGTTTTATATGGCCACAATCCATCAATTGTTTCTTGTCGCGTATTAAGATATACTTATGGAACAAATAATGATTTCAGATTCGAGACTGGAAAACATGATAAAAAGAGGAAATACACTGATCAGTATGGCATAGTTCGATGCCGCGGAACATTTGATCCCATAATTTCTTCTGGAACTAAAGTGCCTGCAAGTGGAAAGAAATGTACCTTAACCCCTTCACTTCCGTACCGGTGTCGCATAATATACGTTCCGGGTAACTTAGCGTTCCGGTCGGAACGCTAAATACCTATAATATTGGTTCCGGGCCATAATAAACGTTCCGGCCCGCGTAAGATTGGTTCCGGCCGTAAAAACGTTCCGGGCATCCAAGCACCCTATTAAACTCTCTATTTATATTCAATATTGGCTGTTAATTTTAATTTTCTTCTTTCTTTTATTCCTTCGTATATGATACAGCAGGATTTAATCGTAAGACAACATATATGTTTACATTTCAAGTCAGAATATGCGGTCTTTTTACCAGAGACATTATATATTTATTGATGCCTCTGATTTAAATATATTAATCCACGAAATTCCAGTTGATTATTTTGATTCTTTGTAAACAAATGAAGGTGTGAAACTTGTTTACATTGACATACCCCCATCGTGCTGTTTTACGACACACTTGGCTTCTATAGATACGAATAATTGCGCAGTCTTGCGAATCGCCGTAAGCACACATGACCACCCTGATCAGATGATAATGTTGATAGATTAATTATATTTACGATAAAATACTTTTTATACTAATTATTAGGTAATATTTTAATTTCCTTA